CTCAACGATTTTTATATAGACTTATACAATTCTATTATTGCTCATTAGTTTTATATAATTTCTGATATCTTCTTCCATTTCAAGGTTTATTTAATCAAATAAATTTTATTATAGCACATTATTTCTTCCAACTCAACGATTTTTATATAGACTTATACAATTCTATTATTGCTCATTAGTTTTATATAATTTCTGATATCTTCTTCCATTTCAAGGTTTATTTAATCAAATAAATTTTATTATAGCACATTATTTCTTCCAACTTAACGATTTTTATATAGACTTATACAATTCTATTATTGCTCATTAGTTTTATATAATTTCTGATATCTTCTTCCATTTCAAGGTTTATTTAATCAAATAAATTTTATTATAGCACATTATTTCTTCCAACTCAACGATTTTTATTTAGACTTATACAATTCTATTATTGCTCATTAGTTTTATATAATTTCTGATATCTTCTTCGTTTATTTAATCAAATAAATTTTATTATAGCACATTATTTCTTCCAACTTAACGATTTTTATATAGTAGACTTATACAATTCTATTATTGCTCATTAGTTTTATATAATTTCTGATATCTTCTTCCATTTCAAGGTTTATTTAATCAAATAAATTTTATTATAGCACATTAGTAGTATATAGTGGACAAATATATCATAAATTTCATTTTTGATATATTTGTCTACTATTCATTTCTACAAAATATATTTTAAGACAATGGGAAAATGTGTATTAATTCAAACTTTTTCCATGTATTATTCTGTCAAAAATTTTCGACGACACAAAAATTCTTTACAATCTTTTCACTAGGTTTAGGGGGGTTTCAAAAATTAAACCATCGTTGCGTAACTTGCCAGATCGGACGGGTGGGCACATTTACACATCAGTACGGACGTAATTAGAGGATCGATTAATTTTTAATATATGTATTAAAAGAGCACTAAGTTTACATAATTGTTAAAGAAAAGCAATTAAATAAATATATAGTAAAAAATATTTTTACGGAAAAACTAATATAAAAAACGGTACAAATAAGAGCAAAAATTTAAAAATAAAAATGTTTAATAATTGTTAAACTCTTTAAAAAGGAATAGGTATTAATCTACGTCCTAAGTACAAGGTTAGCTTTGTTACTCCGATTACAAGGGATTTGGCATGTAGAAAAATTGAAATGTAGACGCAAATTTGAACAAGAATTTAAGGCAAAAATTCGTATCGACTGTTTACTTTGAAATAACACAATTTTATCAACAAATTCTGGCATGTACCATTTTGTCGAATACCCATTTGTCGTAACACTTTTGTCATATACCCTTTTGTCGTTTACCCTTTTGCTGAATACACTTTTGTCGCATGTCCTTTTGTCGTATACCCTTTTGTCGAGTACTATTTTGGCTTTGACCATTTTGAGAATAATTTTCGCTTAGTTTTCAAAATGTCATTAAGTGAGCAAGAGCAAAAAAAGAACACATAACAGAGATAATAGTATGTGTTTATATTTATTTTTCTAACGACAAATGTTAGAAAAATAGAAAAATTAAATAGCGTCTAAAGTTTATAAATTAAAAATAATGATATCATCTTAAAATTTTCGTTTATTAACAATTTTTCATTTTAAATTTTCTTTTTTTAAATATTAATTTTATTTCGCGATTTAATATATTTATGTGAATTTTATTTGTTTTTTAATTTGTAAGATTTAATTTTTAAAAATTATTTTTTCAATATTATATTTTTAAATATTATGTTAAAATTTATTTTTAAAATTTATATTTTCAATTTATTATTATTTATTTAATCTTTAAAATTTATTTTTAGCAATGCAGATGTGAATTTGTTTAAGCATTGGCGAATCCCGCTTACTTAAATTGTTAGTTTTTTAAGGATCTGAATTCTTTGGTGTAGTGGGATAATTTTCTAGTTAATTCTCATGAAAATTGTGTTCAAACCTATGGGTCTAAAAAATTTTGTCTTGTCTAAAATTTTTTGTTTTTGATAAAATTGAAAATTTTTTAGTTTTGGTTTATTGGGATAATTTTCTATATTTCTCCAATACGTTGCAGGGTTCGAATCCCACAAACGCTAACAATTTTTGTTTTGACTAACAATAATTTTGTAAAATTTAATATTTATTTAAAAAACGTTTATAGATTTTAATCATTCAGATTTGGCTCAAAAAGTTTATTTCAAAGCGGATTACTTTGTGAAATATCTTCTTTATTTTAAATGGCCATATATGCGAGGTTTTTTATTTTTGTTGGTTAAATTTGGAAACTCTTTTTTGAGAGGAAAATTTTTTGATTTATGCGTTAGAGTTATTTGATCTTTTTTGGGGCTATTAAGACCCTGACGGATTTTTGAAAATTTCTCTGTTATTTCTCTTTTTTTCCTTGACAATTAATCCACAAAATAATTCTAATCGGTAAAATAGGTATTAGGTAAATTGATAGGTATTAGTAAAAGAATTGAATACAAATTGTAAGATCGAATGAGCAAAAATTGATAAAGTTACACTAGGAAAGTTCCTAAAAATTTTGAAAAAAATCTGCTAAATTCCTTTTTTCAAAGCTCATATCTTTTATTTTAAGAACTTTCAAATACTCTCAATGTTTATATTTGCTTGAATGTTTACAACAAGCTGAATTTCGTTAAGCTTTAGCATCAAGTGACAATGCTCGTTATATTGAAGATCCTCTTTTAATACAATGGCATTTTTATATCATTGTTAGGCAACGCTTACACGTTTAATTTTAAGAGAAAAGTTTTTGAATCTTAAAAATAATTTCCCAACATTCACAGCCTGTTCAGCAACCATAAAATTTGAAGGAATGAAAAATGAATGAGTATATTTTCTGTGATTTTTTGATGATTTTTTGTATAACATTTTTTCACTTTTGCGATAAAAAGAGAAGAGGGACATTAGATCCCATAAGATTGTTCTTATTTTCGCGCTTTTAATTTTAGACTCATTTATGAGATTAAGTAAATGGTCACCTCATCAAATAAACTGAGGCAGAGGCAGATGAGGGAAAGGACGAATGTATAATCAATGAAGAATAAAATCTGGAAGAAAATTGTCCGTTTCTTTATGACATGGTATTTTAATAGATAATTTTTGGTGTCGATAACGAGGGGGCGCATATTTTTATTCTTTGTAATGCACGAATGTAAGGATAGCGGTTACTAAGACCTGGTATTGAGCACATCAGACTTGCTTTATTGAGCTTTATTATTTTTTAATCTTAAAATTTTTCTTTTTAAATTAAAAGAAATTGAGGAATCCTGCACATTATTCTTTCCTCTGGCGCTTTTTAAAACCGAAAGACAAAAATAATTTTATTGGTTTCAACGAGATGGATTTTTATTTCCTAAATGAGCAATATTGTTATTGTTTCATAATCGTATACTTTTGATACCGTCTAGTGGTTTTTTAAATATTTTTATTTTAAAGTGTTTTAAAATCATTATGGATTCTGACCCTTTATGTGGATTCTGACCGTTCATCGGATTCATTAGATTGGCCGAGATTATTATTGTTGGTAGATTACACAAACCTGTTTTAAACGTTGCATGGCCAAATGACCAAAATTTTGGTCAAGAACCAAGAAGACCAATTAGGCATGCAGTAAATGATTCAGATGGATGGCTGTGTAAGCAGCTTTGTTTAATTTATTATTAAAGTAAAGCATTGTAAAAATTTTATAAAAAAGTTTAAGAAAGTAAATTTAAATTTTCCGACCAAGACCAATACCTTATATCCAGACTTTTTCAACTCGAAACTCGACCCGAGAAATTTTCAAAAACACGAAACTCGATTTCTATCTTAATCTCCTAAATCCACAGTTACAAATTTGAACGTAAACCCTTTTCGGAAACGTTTTTGAACCCCGCACTGAAACCCCTCCCGAAGAAGTCATTGATTATTCGAAACCCTGCTCGGGAATAAAAATCAGTCTGTCCACAAGCCAAAAATAACACCAAAAACTTAATAATTCTCAACTAATAATAAATATAATAAACAAAGCCTTAGTGCAGAAATATGTCTATAAGATTAATAATTGATGAGAGTTGGGAAGGTGGGGGTATTTATATAGGAACTTTTTTGACTATGGCTGAAATGTTTATATTTTAATTGAGCAAATACTTTGAGTGATTGATGGGCCCTTGCACAAAAGTTTTGACATATGTTCATAAAAAATAAAAATTGTTTAAACTAAGGAGTGTCAGCTGCCAAAATTGTGATTAATTGCAAAAATTGTGCTTAATTTAGTAACAAAATAAATAAATAAACCAAAAAATTGTGAAACATAGCGAGTAATTAATCATTCGGTGGCCAAAAGATGTCATGGCGGACCCGTATAAAAGGAACCCCAAAATCACCTAAGGAATCATTCAGCATTTCCATTCAACATTTAAAAATATCCCCATATCTTCCCCCTCTTTAAATACTTATACTCACATCCTCCATAGTTCCCCCTCATTAATTTAATAACCCTCTTACCTTCCCCCTCTAAATCAATTACTCCCTGCATCTATACCTCTCCCTCTTTATTTTATAATATCCTCATACCCTTCCCTTCTATACCCTCACCCTCTGTAATTTAATGATATTTTTATTTTTGTTTATCAGTTATTGCTTTTCCGTTTTTCATTGTTTGAGATTTAGCTTAGATTTTGAAATGTAGATTTTGAGATTTAGTTTGAGATTTAGTAAAAATTTTTATTTATAAAATTTTAATTTATTTATGAAAATTAGAAAAAATGTAACAAAAACAAATTTACGGTTTTCTAAATTTTCTAATATTTTGCAATTAAAGTTAGTTTTAAAGTAAATTTTTGCAAATGTTTGATTTTACTATAAATTCCATTTTTATTTATTATATTTAAAAATAGTTTAACTTTCCTAATTTAATCAATTTTAGCTTTAATTTTATTTAAAGAAAACGAAATTCTGATGGAGAAAAGCGTTGATGCTTCAAACGATAATGGTAAATGATAATCACATTATTAATCAATTTAATAAAATGCTTATCATTTACAGGCACGGCGGACGCTCCTATTATGATTGATGAAAGCACTAATACAGAGATGATTGTGGATAATGTATGCGAAGAAAAGGACTTGCGAACTTCACAAGAAAGTTCGGGATTAGAAGGTAAATATTAAATACTTTTGATTAAAAAAACAACTTCAGTGTCGATAACAGCAGAGGAAATTCAAGAAGTGCGTGCTTTTATTCTGGAACAAAAAAAGAAGAAGCAGGCTGCCGAGGCGCGACGCAGACGCTCAATTGAAAAATCGAGCTCAACTTTGAGTTCGGTTTCCACTTCGAGCAAAGCCCCGACCGCAAAGAAGTCACAAAGCAAGTCAAATAAAATAAGTGAAAATGTTCCACAAAACAACGTTGACGCTGTTATTAAGGTTGTATAATATTGAAAATAATTTAAATTAGAAATTTTTAGTCAGTTATCAAACGAGCAAAAAGTCAAATTCCCAAACATTCAAAGGAAGAAGTGACTAAGGATATTCTTGATGCAATGATGGATTATGATGAGGAAGAAGACGAGTCTGATGATCCAGATCCTAATGATGTTATTTCTTTGGGCGAGGATGAAGAGGAATACAAGCGAAGGCGAATCGAACGTAAGTTTGATATTTTTTTATTTAAATATTTTCTAGGTAAACAACGCGCTGAACAATTAGTTCCTGAAGGATTACTCAAGCGTGCACAGGTGCTTAAAGTACCTCGTCAAGGAATTTTCATTCACCAGTGCAACAATTGCCGAGAAAACCAGAAGAAACGACAAAAATTTCTTTACAAGGCAGGAAGTCCTATAAATTTTACGCTTACATTCGAATTGTGCGCAGAGGACCTCGACAAAAATATAAACCTAGGGACATTTTATGCTCTCTCTTGGGGTATTACATAATAATCAAATAATTTAAAAAAATTTTTAAAAGGTGACAAGGAAATGAATATAAAGCCTGAGGAACAATCTTCCAGCTTTGAAAAATGTAAGAAAATTACAAAAATTGAAATTATTGAAAAAATTTTAAGCTTCTGGGGTGTTATACTTTCAAAAGGGTGAAAATATTGCTTCTGGGACTAATTATAAACTATTGAGCTTATTGAAATATTGTTGGATCTTGCATCAGGTAAAAATTTCATATTAACTACGATTTATTTTAAATTTTAGTGCGATAAATGTATCGGTCTTCAGAGGTCCTTGGCTAGTGATATGTTTTTACAAAAATGCGGGGAAAAATATGAGCTGAGTTTCATGGTATATTTTCAAAAATTTTTAAAATATAATTAAAATTTTATAGATTTGCGAGGCCTGTAAGGACATCAATAAGGACTACCAACAGAAAACTTTTGACATGTTTAGCAATTTTAATAAGAAAAAATGAATAATGATAACTATAAATTTTGTTGAATAAAGGCTATTTTTTAATGGAAATTTTATTTTTGATCCGTTTGATCGAATTTTATTTTTTAATTTACTAATTCATTTTTGGAATTCTTTATAGCTACAAATCTTTTTTGTACAAACCGTTTTGTGAAATAAAAGGTTTCGTTTATTTTTTTAAATTAAACAATACATTTCAGATGGATCAACATGTAGCAGATATCGCGCTTGAAGAACTCAAGGAAAAACGTAGACGTCTGCCTAGACAACTTGAGCAACTTTTCGATGCGGAGGATGAAAAACAGCTTAAGTCGGATCTTTACGCCGCATTTATTCAACATCATCGGAATAGATATCCGCAAATTTCATTAAGTAGAATCCATGAGCATTTTTTGAAGGAAAGACACGCAATGGGAAGACAGGTTCTTATTGAAAAAATTTTAAAAAATTTTATTAAAGGCCATTGTTGACGTCGTAAAAAATGAATTGTACTATGCGCTAGGGCATACGAATAGCAAATATTGGGGGCAAATTGATCTGCAATCGGCAATTGACGTTTGCTGCTACAGTCGCTATATACCTTCAAAAAAGAAGAGAGGTATTTAATGCTTTTTAGCTCTAAAAGTACTCATATTTTCAGAAAACTCTCCTGTTATAATTATGAACGACATAACTAAACGTTTGGAATCTCAACTTAATATTGAGACAACGGACTTAGGAGGTGAAGGCACATCGACAAGTACAATACAAAACAATGCTGAAAGTTTTGTTTCTGATTCTGTGAATTATTTTTCTTCCACGGACAAAATACCAGAAGAAGAAGAATGGTAAAGGATATTCAAGCTGAAGCGATAGTTGTTAAAAAATTCTTATTTTCTAATGGATAAAGTAAAAATTAATATTGTTTGAAATAATTTGTTGCGTCATTATCGCAAAAATATTTTACAAATAATCACTAAAAATTTTTAGAATTTTAGATGAGCCAAAGAAATTTTGGAGAGTATTCCATTGATCACTTTTATAATGAAGACGTATCCGAAAACCTAAAAAGTTCGAGATTCAAAATAGGAGTTTTCAGGTCTATTAAAAGATTTTATTCATTGTATTTAAAATTTTAGAACCGTATTCACAGTGAGGAATGTTGATGATGCCCCGGAGGGCAGCGATAAACTATTAGAAGATTTGGTCGACCATTTTATTGCAAAAGCCGACAAAGCTTCAGGCACTAAATCTGAAAATTGTTCAATCATAATAAGAAGTGCTGTTCTTGAAAAACCTATACAAATACCATATAGAGGACTTGCCCAGAATACTCCTCAAGTTGTCATGGAGCAATTTGATGCCGTTGATCAAAGCGGAAAACGCATGGGAAGACCTTCTCTCTACAGTCAACCAATACATATTGAAGTATATTTAACATGTTTTATATTTAAATATTTTACCTAGATTGTTATGGGGCCTTCACACGAAGAGGCAGCGGAATTAATTAGGGAGAAAGGAGGAACTGGTCGAAATAGGCGTGAAATTGATCAGGGTGTTGATTTAAACAATCTAATACCTGTGAGTTAGAATAGAATTAAAAGCGATTTAATATGAATTAAAATCCCAAGGTAAACAACGAAAATCTCACTCCACCTGCCAATGTTCACTGTCTCATACTTGCTGTACAGCTTAAAATTCAACACGTGAATATGACTAATTCCGCATATGACAAAGTTAAATTCCACCGGCTAGTAAACGGTCAAACCAAAAATTCGAAAATCAAGCGCGAAGTTTTGATTAAGGAAATGATTCAACAAATGTTAAAGAACAGAATCCGTTACCCCAGCAATGCAAAAGAATATACAGTTGAAGAACATGTTCCAATGATTCAACAATTATTAGACATCCTTTTCCCCAGCAAATATAGAATTTCAGTATTCGGAGATCACGGAAGGATGCGGCCTATATGGAAAGGACAAAAAAGAGCTGAACACGAGATTGCTTTATTTTTGAAAGAAGGACATTATTATGGGATTAGAAACGTGAATGCGCTTTTTGGTTCTTATTATTGTCTTGATTGTGAGGCACCGTTTCACGACAAAAAAGTGCATCGACAGACATGTGTTGCCAAATGTCCGCGCTGTTGTGGGATGGGATTTGGTTTCCCATGCTTAGAAATTAATGGATTTTCAAAAAAATGTTCACAATGTGCGAATATATTTAAAAATCCTGAGTGTTTCCAGAGGCATATGGACAAGGGAATCTGTGCAATCTTTAAAAGGTATTATTCAAAATTTTCGATGACAAAATTTGTTATAGGTGTGAGAAATGCGGGAAAATCTTTAGTGTAAAAAAGCGAGTGAATGAATTTAATTCTCAAGAATCAGGAAATGAATCTTCAAGCAGTTCTACCAAAGGCGATGGACATGTTTGTTACGTTGATTTTTGTTCTCTCTGTCATTCATACCACAAACGTGATGAAAATTGCTATGTGCAACCAATAATCCCGAAAAATAAACAAAACTACATATTGGTATTTATATTCTATTTTGGAAAAAACTGTTATTTAGGTAGTATTTGATTTTGAATGCGAACTAATATCACCGGTAAAAAACAAAAATGAATGGGATGATCTTCAAAGTGCCAGACTATTGCCACAGAAAGGGGTGATAGATGATGAAAATTATCAACTACATCATGTTAATTGCGTTTCGGTAATTTTTCCATAAGTTTTAAAACTATTTCATAATAAGGCGTTGATAATGTGTGCTCTATGCATAAGCAAGGATAATTGGAAAAAAGACACAACGGATAATTGCAAAACTTGCGGCATTAACATGCCTAGAATGCGAACTTGGACATCCGCAGATTTTTTAAATCCCTTGCGCGAATTTTTGGAATGGTTGATTAACGGATTGGGGAATGAGCGATCAGGAAAAACATATGCTATCTCTCATTATGGAGGGTTTGTTTAATTACATTGGCTTTATTATTCCAAACAACCAATTTAGTCGATATGATATGCATCTACTATTAGGCGAATTGATTAAACATTTTGGAATTGAGCCAAAAATTACGAGAACTGGGAACAAACTTTACGAGGTTCTGATTAAAAGACAAAGAAGACGATTTCCTTATATTTCGTTTCGTGACTCGTTTAATTGGACGATGCTTAAGCTGGAACAGCTCCCCAAAGCCCTAGCTCTTGAAATTGACGAAGGTGGCAAGTCATTTTTCCCTCACGGGTGGAATTTTAATAAGAATATGAATGTTCGGCTTGATGGATTACCTGAACAACATTATTATTACCCAGATTCAATGGGAAAAGAAAGGAGAAAAATGTTTGAAGAATGGTATAACAGTAATAAGAACGAACCATTTTGTCTTCGTGAGCAAATAGTCGAATACTGCGAACAAGATGTGCGTATTCTTGCTCATGGACTTGTAAAACTTCAGCGCCTTTTCTTTGAACTAGCTACTGAACCTTCCAAGCGCGACGACGTACTTGTAAATTCTATGACACTTGCCAGCGCGTGTATTCGTCATTTTTGTAAGCTCTTAAAACATACAAGGTAATAAAAAATTTTAAGGTATAAACTATTTGAAAGAAAATCAAATGGGCATAATTCCCGACAATGGCTATCATCGGGATTCGAATCAATCAGCAATTGCTTTAAAATTTCTACGATGGCTTGCACACAAGACAGGTCTTCAAGTTCAACATCAAGAAAGTCCAGAAGGAGAAAAAAGAATCAAAGTTTCGGATGGAAGTATTTTGCGTCTCGATGGGTATATTAAAAACATTGGAGGAGTAGACCAAGCAATTGAATTTCTTGGATGTGCATGGCACGGACATGAATGGTAATTAGATTTATATTCCAAATTGTTAGCTTTTAGTTTATATCGCCCGCATGAAGTTTGTTTAAATGGAAAGACGGCACTATATAATAAAGATAAACTTTATGAACGTGTTCGATTATTGGAAGAAGAGGGAATTTGGACTACTGCCGTATGGGAATGTGAAGTTATGAAACAACTTGAAGAGGATCCAGAAATGTCTCTGTTTTTTGATACCTTGCCAGATATTGGCCCGCTGTATCCTAGAGATGCTTTTCACGTATGAATTAGTTGAAATTTTGTATTCGATTTTAAATTAAGGGGGGAAGAACTGGCCCTTTAGCTCTAAAATGTGATTTAGAAGGAAACTTCGAGAATGATTATGAGATTTCTTGTTTTGATGTTGTAAGCCTTTATCCTGCAGTAAATTTTTATGCATTTTATCCTATTGGTAAATTTTAACTATCTAAATACATCGGTAAATTTATTAGGCCATCCGAATATTTTGGAATTAAATAAGGATGTGAATTGGACTACGCCTGAAGATTTACATCCATATAGAGGGCTGTTCAAACTTTTCATAATTCCTCCAGATGACTTATATCTTCCAGTTATTTCAGAACGCATTCACGGAAAATTGGTAAAAATTTTCTAAAATTTTATATCATAATAAACAGATATTTCATCTTTGTCATCGCTGT